CATAATAACTTCCTTGAAACTTACATTTAAGAAATGGTAGCTACTGTGAAAATGGGGATAGAGAATTTATGCTTTGCAGATATTAGCCAGGTCCTGGAGCTGGGGGTGTGGCTGAGCCCTTGCCTAGCCTATCATGCAAGAGACCCTGCGTCCAATGGAGGGGGAGGAGGAAGAGGAGGAGGAGGAGGAGGAGGAGGAGGAGGAGGAGGAGAAAAGGGAGGAAGAAAAGTCTATCAAGTACAGGCCCTGATTGCAAGTGAGTAAACTAACTTTTAGATTAGGTAAAGGGAGTTAAAGAATGGAAAATCCATCAAGTCTGAATTTAAGCACAGCTGAGCCCAGGGGCTCAAATGGTGTCATAGGTCTCTCATCTCATCAGTCCCCTTCCTCCAGCATCTGCTGTTTCTGCGTATCTCTGCTTATCTTTTCTTACTGCCCTCATCCTCCCCTGCACCCTTTCTCTAATACCACAGCTCTCCTAAAGCTGGGGGTCCAAAAAAGAATGGCCTTCCAGGTTATCCCCAGGAGAAATCCCAAGGAAGACACTGACTAGTTGAGCCTGGTCATTTGCCTGTCTCTGAACCAATAACAGTGTCCATGGAGATGTAGTACCATGACTGGGGTTGACAGCCCCCTACGACCACTGAGAGGACAGCAGAGTTCTTCAAGTGGTACAGAAGGAAGGGGTCCTCATCCTGGAGGTGAAGAACCCTAGCCATGGCTTCCAGTACATCCACCATTCCCACAAAATGCCTCTGCATCCACTCTGTGATCTAGCCAGGCTCAGGCTTCCAGTTTTACAGTGACAGGGTGTTGAAGGAGGGTGTGCAGCAGGCTGTGGTGGGAAGGAAGGGGCATCTGGTATTCTTTCCTGCTAGCTTTCTCAGATCAAATGCCTGGGATTTGGGAAAAGGTCGTGGAGAATTTAGACTCATAACCTCTCAACCAAAGTAGGCTCAGTCAACTTTCCCAGGGGAAGAGTGGAACTGGCATTTGGGCCACACCAAAGAGAAATGAGGCTTCCTGAGTGGCAGTGATTATAATTCACAGCTCTGCCTTCCCCAGAGCTCTGCGCCGCACTTTTTAATCTCCTGCACTTCTCTCAGAGACCACCAGGGGGCAGGCAGAGCCCAGCTTCCCTATTAACAAGGACCAACCCAAGGAGCAGGACATCTGGGGAACTGAAAGCCCTTGGCAGAACTGGAAGGAAGCAGGAGACCTATGGACAGCTTAGGTCAAGCTACCAGTGTTCCAGACTGTCTGGGACCTATGGGTTGGCCAGACCTAGGGCTGGGATGCCAGTCTCCCAGTCTCTACTGCTGCCTGGACCTGGTGGTGAAATGGGATGAGGTGATGCTGGGTATCTTTCTCCATGATGCCACAGAAGACAATTGGGGACAGTGGCATGAACCAATACTATCACAAGCAGGTTGAAAGTAATTCCAAGGAACTCGTATAACATAGTGAAAAAGGCCTAGTTAGGTTAACTGGTTGGTCAGTTAACCTATCTGAGCCTCAGTCTTTCCATCACAAAATAGGGCTTCTTAGCACATTGTGAGAGTTCACTGCAATCTGTAAGCTGCTAGTCAACTGTCAGTGGCCCATTTTCTGCAAACAAGCTAGCAGGGGTCTGGAAGCTGTTTTCTGTGACTGGTGACAGTGAAGCCTCAGGAAGCACCATTGGGACAATTAGTCTAGTTCTCTTCAAGCCCAGAGATGGCTCTGTGTTCTGCACTGTTGCCTGGGAAGGGGTCAGAAGCAGAACTTGGAAGTGCCCCCGACACCACATTTGCTCACCCAGCTGCTCAGCCCCGGGCACAGTCAAGGTCCCCTGCTGGCTGAGTGGCGGGGGACATGTGGTACTGGGGAGATGGGGGAAGATCAGAGAGGCACCCCAGATGTTTGCGTGACCACACCAGGAAAAGGCAGAATGCAGGCATATGAGTAAAGAAGCCTGGTAGAAGGGCCAGGATCAGCCTGAGGCCAAGGACTCTGAAAACATCTCCCTTTCCCTTCAATGGCCAAACTTTAGGAGTTTGGGAAGATGGGAGCAGCAAACTCCCCCCTGGCCTAGCTGAGTTCTGGGCAACAGGACAAAGAGCCCCCTTATCGATCTGGGGTTCCTTCCCTCTCTTCACCAAGACAAACTTTTACAACTGGTCAAGGGGACTGGATTGGGTCAGGCTGGGGCTGTGAGGGTCCCACCTGTTCTCACCCTCATGCCTCCCCCAGCCCTCCTTTCCTCAACCTCCTCCAGAGCAGCCACAGCTGGAACCATTCTCCAAGCTGCCTTTGATCCTCCGTGCCCCCCCCACCCCCAGTGGCCCTGTAATTGTGGTCTCAGGCAGCGGCTGCGGGGGCTGGGGCTGGGCTGAGGGCCAGGGCTCAGGGTAGGGCGAGGGTGGGGACTGGGGGCTGCTGATAGGGGCTTGGCCATGGCGTGGATCATACAGGGCTGGGCCTCAGTTACACACTCTCTCTGGGCCTCATCTACATACATGTCAAGGCCTTGTGCTCACATACAACACAACACATCCTTGGACTGAGGAGAGGTGCCCCAGATTTGGGCACTCCTAGACATCAGGCCTGAGCTATGCCAGGAGCAAGATCTTGAGAATCAGTATTTGCCTCCTGGGGTTTTCAAAGAAAAGGTCTTTCTCCTTTGTAACTCCATATTTCATGGAGAGTGGAGGTGGCAGGGCACAAAGAGACCTTCCCTCATCAGAGGCAGGCCAAAGGGGGAAAAATCAGTTGCTCAACCAGGTCAGCAGCATTTCCCAAAAGTGCTCCACCAAAACACTTGGGTTATGGTTAGACATGCAGACCCAGAGGGGGCCTGGAAAGGCTGGTTCCGTCACATGGGGTCTGGAGTCTGTACTTTTTTTTTTTGGTACCAGGGATTGAACTCAGGGGCACTTTTCCACTGAGCCACATCTCCAGCCTTTTTTATATTTTATTTAGAGACATGGTCTCCTCACTAAGTTGCCTCACTAAATTGGTGGGATTGACTTTACTTGCGATCCTGATCCTCCTGTCTCAGCCTCCTGAGTTGCTGGGATTACAGGCGTGCTTCACTGGCCCCAGTGCCCCCCCTCAGAGGAGACAGGATGCATCAAGCATGGGAAACACTAGTGTGAGCACTGGGTAGGGAACAAGGTCTGTAGCCTAAGGGTGGTCTCGTCACCTGCATTGTGTTGGGCCTGTTCTGAAACCTTTCTGGGCCTCAGTTTTCCCAACAGCTAATGGGAGCTTGACCCCCTGCCACCTGCAAATGCCCTCTCCCACCTTGGGCTCCTGTTCCTTCCTGTGTTGAGAGTAGTCTTACCCAGCCCCTACCTCCTTTCCAAACTGTAGTCCCAAGCTGTCCCGGTCCCTGTCCCTGCAGCATGGTGGGGGAGAGTGGGGAGGACAGGGGGTGGCTAGGGTCAAACCAGGCTCTGGCTGACGCAGTCTGCTTCCTGCCCCCGGCTGTTTTCCTGCTGTCCAGCCAGACTGCTCCCCCATTGCCCCACCCCCACCCCCAGCAGCCTCAAGCCCTTAATTCCTGACAGCTGCAGTGGCTGCCGGCAGAGATTGGGGGGCGGGGAGGGAGTGTGTGCCGTCAGCCTGCTGTTGCTCAGGCCACCCCCACCACCTGACAGTGTGGGGACAGGAACACCCCTCCTCTCTCTTCCAATTCCCCAAGGATGGGCAATTCCAGGAATGGGCCCCTTTTGTCTCTGAGCCCAGAGGCTCCGGCAGTTCTGTCCCTAAGCCAGGAGGGGCTCTCTTCAGAAAGAGGGGGCACTGGGTAGAAGGGGTGTGTATGTGTAGAGTGGGAAGCTTGTGCCCACTTTACAGAGGAAGATGTGGAGGCCACAGCAGGAGTAGGAAGTATCAGGGCCCAGATCAGAACCAGAAACAGAAACCACAGCCTCTTCCCCCAGCTCTCTGGTTTTCAGGCCCTTGCCTGGGCCAAACACACTTGCCCCATATGAGGAGGGGCCTGGTGTTCAGCCAGAGCCCTGAGGAAAAAAAGTGGTCCCAGAGGACCATGTGTGGACAGGGCCAGGGCACACTCAGAGCATCAGTAGGCACAGGCAAGCAACACTCAGTGTAGGGGCCACAGCTGCTGTGCTGGGAGTCCGGAGAACTGAATTCAGTTCCTGTTGTTCCACTAATATGCTGTGTTACCTTAAGGAAGTCATGACCCTCTCTGAGCCTCAACATTTTTTCATGACACAATAAGATGACCTCAAAACCCACTTCTTGGATTAAGAGATTTTAGAATCCCCTTTCCCAGCAAGTGTCACCCCCAAGGTGCTAGGCTTCCAAACAAGCATTTACTAGAGGCCTGGCATTTCTCCTTTCCTTGGCTCATTGAACACATGAGGTGGACCTCCTTACCCCCAGTTGGTAAAGGAGCAAAGGGTGTCTCCAGGAGCCGGAGGCACCTGTTTAAGCCAGGCAGCAAAGGAGAGAAAGAGTCAAAGGCTGCCAAACCCCTCCGCAGGACCCCAGCCTGCCTGCTAGGGGAAGTCCCTCCAGAAGTAGGGGAGGGTGAACCCGGGAGAGGACAGCCCCTCCCATCTCGTCCCAGCAGGTGTGTGCTGGGGTGGGGTGGGGCGCCCCCCCCCCCCCCCCCCGCAGCTGCGTCTCTGCGGACACACACACCTCGCGGTAACACACCTACCCCGCACAAACCAGCGCACACTGCGTCCAGGCAACTCCCTGCGCAGGGCGCACAGACCCCGACGCCTCTCCTTCCTCCGCCCTCAGCACGCCCTCTCCCACCGCCCAGTCTTGAACCGACGTCGTGGCCTCGGGACTCGTCCACGCCTCCACACCACCCCTGTCGTGACGTCACGTGGGGTAGAGCCCTTAGACACTACACGGGGCGGGGGGGGGGGGGGCGCAGAAAGGGAGGCGGCAGCGCTCCCTGAGCCGGGACAGTCACTTACTCTCCAGGCTGTGGGGCCAGGCACAGCGCCGCCCCCCGCCCCCGCCCCCGCCGCCCCCGCCCCCGCCCCCGCCGCCTGCCTCGCTCACCTCGGAAGCACAGGCTCGCGGCGCGGCGCTGGGGTGCTCCCCGGCACCCCGGCCTCGAGTCCCCACCCGCTGTACCTCCGGGACCCCCCTTACTCTCGACAGGCACCAGGAGTTGTCGCAAGGGGGCCTTGGGAAATTCCCCGGACCCCTGTGCCAGGAGGTGCCCGGTTCGCCCGCTCCCCCCCCCCCCCACCCCCGAGGGCGGTGCCCGGGGGTGCTGCCCCATGGAGCAGGGAGGCGGGCGCCGTCTGCTCTCGGAGCCGTGACCCGAGTCTTGTCGGAGCTGTGTGTCGCGTGTCGCAGACGCCCCGACCCCAGCTGATCATGCGCCGCCGCCCCTGGCTCGCCAGGCCCACCGGGCTGTGAGCCCCCCACTCCCGGCCCTTCACGGCCCGGCCCGCGCGCCATGGGCAGCGCCCACCCTCGCCCCTGGCTGCGGCTCCGACCCTGGCCCCAGCCGCGGCCCGCGCTCTGCGCGCTCCTGTTCTTCCTACTGCTGCTGGCTGCTGCTGTGCCCAGGTGAGCCCTCACCTCACGCTCCGCCCTCCTGGAGAGCTGGGACCCCCGGGGCAGGGGCCTCTGGTGCTCTTGCTGGGGCAGGGACCCTGGAATGAGGGAGGGACAAGGCCACTGGAAAATGCGGGTGCCCCAGCGAAGACAGTGAGCTCTCTCCTAGGAAGGGATGGGACTGGTGATAGAATATGGGCAGTGCAGGGAGACAGGGCAGTGCTCAGAGAGTGATGGCAGCTAGGAGAGGTGTATGTGAGGGGAGCAGTGCCAGCCTGGAGCGTCACTCTGGGGGAGCGCACCCCCACCCCTACCCCAGCAGAAAATTCAAACTTCCTCCTTCCACGTTGCAAACCCCCTCTCCCCGCAAGAGTAGGAGTTGGGGTCTGGGAGGAGGTATCCCAGGTGGGGTCAGTGAGCGACTACAGCTGAAAAGACTGTGTCATAGAGTGATCCTAGCAAGCTGGGCTGGTAAACAGCAGTAGTGTATGTGTGTGTGAAAGTGTGAGTTCACGGGTATGTTAACACAAACGTGTGTGAATGTGTGTATGTGATTATGTCTGATGAAGTGTGCATGTGTGTAAGAGTTCCTGGGTCTGTATGTTCACCACAGTGTGTGCAGAAAGTGTGTCTGTGTAATTGTGACCATCTGGAACATGCTCTAAGAGTGGGCTTCTGGGGTGCCCTGTGTATGCAGGCATCTGTGCCGAGGGATGTACTCATAAAATACTGTGTGCACAGGCATAGCCAGGCATAGCGGATGTGTGTAAATTTACACATGTTTGCCTGTGTGGGTGTGCAGCTGGGTGAGTTGCATTGGAAGGGATGATGGTGAGGAGGTCAAGGAAAGGAAAATGTTTAGGAGTGTACTGAGGGGCCCAGCCTTTAGAAGCGGGAGTTCGAGCACAGAGTGATTATGACCTTTGGGAGACAGTGTGTATTATTAAATAGGGTCCTTAAGGTTTCCCCAAAACGCTTACCCACCCCACCCCACATGCCTGCAGATCAGCACCCAACGACATCCTGGGCCTCCACCTTCCCCCGGAGCCTGTGCTCAACGCCAACACAGTTTGCCTGACATTGCCTGGCCTGAGCCGGCGGCAGATGGAGGTGTGTGTGCGTCACCCTGACGTGGCCGCCTCAGCCATCCAGGGCATCCAAATCGCCATCCACGAGTGCCAACACCAGTTCCGGGACCAGCGCTGGAACTGCTCTAGCTTGGAGACTCGAAACAAGATCCCTTATGAGAGTCCCATCTTCAGCAGAGGTAGCTGCCACTCACCCCTGCTCCCCTTCCTGTCCCATCCAGCACCTCCATCCCAGAATCTATCCAAAATCTACACTCTCAAGCTGGTAGTCCCTGACCCCTCACATCTGCCAGCCATGCTACTTTTCTGCCTCTTTCTAGCCTCAGAAAAGTCACGGGGTGGACAAATGGGACAGATGTGTCTCTGGCCAATGGTGGCAGGTTTCATTCATAATAGGGAACTAGACTCCTGGGTTATCTGGCCTTGTCACTAACACCAAAATCCCTCAAGTCTGGGAAATTGCACTGTCACCTGCCTCAATTTACCCTCTACTTTAGTAAACTACACTTAGAATGGAGAGCCTGTGAGAAGGTACTCAGCAGTGGCATGAAGAAGGATGACATTCTGCCAAATAGTGCGGGTCGGGAGCCTGGGCAGGTAAATCAATGGTCTGTACTTATGCAGAAGCTCTGCTGGCCGGGTACACCACCAGCCTCTGTGTCATCCTCACCACCCCCAAAAACCCTCTCTGAATCAGAGCTCTGGGTGTGTGCTTACTTGTGCGCGGTGGCTCCAGACCAGCAAGCCTGACAGCTCTGCCAACCCCTGTTCCCCTCACAGCTCAGGCGAGTGGCAGCCCATTCCCTGTCCTCTCCTGACTTCTGAGTGGCTCAGAGACCACTTCAGCTTGGCTGAAGACAGCAGGTGGTTTTATTACTCGTTTCTGATTCCTCTCACCTCTGGCCTGGCATCTGGGGCCAGAATCAGGTCCTTGGGGCAAGGTGGGGGCCCTGGTTCCTGGATTTGCCTAGCTGGGTATGTGTCTCTCCTCTCGGCAGCCTGCATAGGACAGTGTGGGGACCCTGTGACCCTAGTTCCTTGGGCCTTGTCCAATTCTAGCTGATGGTGGATGAGAAGGGGTACCCTTATACCTGGAGCCTGGGGCTTCTGGAGGAGTCAGGCCCCTAGGTACTCCAACTTAGGACCTTTGGTTTTCACCAGGACTCCTGCATGTGTCCCCTGGGCCTCCAAGTCAGGGCCACCCCAACCTCCCCCAGCCCAACCCCGGCTGCCCGCCCCGCCCCCGCGCGCTCCCTCTTCCCTCCCCCGCGCGCCCGGGGCGCTGTTTCTCCCCGGCGGAGCCCAGCCCGGCGCGTGTGGCGGCATGCAGCCGCGAACTAATCCCCGAGGGCCGCGGCAGACGGCTCCCGGCCCCAGCCGCGCCGCTCTCCAAGAGGGCGCCCCCCTGCCCCGCACGCCTTCCCTCCTGTCCTGCGCCCGATCCTTTCCCACCGTCCAGGGGCGGCTGCTGGGGACCCCCAGCCCACAGCTGGCCCAGCTCCTACCACGCGCCCCGCCCGGCCCCGCCGCCCGCGCTGGCTGACCCCGAGTGGCGGGCCTCAGTGTCTTCCCGGCCCAGGCCAGGCCCGGCCGGTGCTCACCGCCCGGCGTGCCCGCTCCCGCAGTCCGGTTGCTAGGTCCCCCGCGCTCCCGCAGCCGCGTACTCCCCAACCCTCGGCCCTGGAGGAGAGGGTCCGCACCCCGTGCTTGGGTTTCCGCTCACTGGGGGCTTGGCCAGGCGTTGAGGTTCTCACCCCTGACGCTTTGGGCGAGGCGAGGCAGGGCAAGCTCTTCAGCCCTCTCCCCGGCCTCGGGGTCCCCTCTGGTCCTCCCGTGCCCTCTAGACTGAGTGAACCCAGGCGTCCTGGTTGCTTTCCGATCAGGCCTGTGAGGCCTGATGAAGAAACTGGGGTCTCTGAATCTGGGGGCGAGTTCGGAGTGGTGGAACCGCGCTGGGTTGGCGCGGGGCCAGGCGCTCCTGGGTTCACCCACAGTTTAATAAGCAGGAGGTGAGCTGGGGGGACGGGTGGGGGGAGAGGTTAGGAGTGGAGGGGGGAGGCTTGCTGGGGCTAGCCGGGCGGGGCGGCGCCCAGCGCGGGGAGGGGGCGGGACGGTGGCTTCTGGGCCCCGCCAGAGGGGCTGGGCTTCTTGCCGGTGACGCCCTACCTCCGTCGCTTCTGCAACACCCCCCCCCCCCCCCCCCCCCCCCCCCCCCTTCCTGCCCCCCCCCCCAGCCCCGCACACAGTCGTTGCTCATTTCTATCTCTCCCTCTCCGGAGGAAATGAATCTGAGCTTCCGGAAAGAAAACTGCCACTCCCCCATCTCACCTCCATTTGGCCTCCACTAGCCCCTGTTCCACTTCACATCTGGATCCACCCTCCTCTAGGGTTATTTCCTGGTCCGTCTTCATCTGTCTCCTCCAGGACAAGCTAAATTCGAATCTTAGGAGGCCGCTTATGGTGGCAACCAGCCCCTGGTGGTCTGGTTCTTATCTGAGTCTCCTTTTCAGGGTCCATTGAGAGTCAGGTGACTTCGGTTTCCCCCAAGTGGAATATAAGGGAGCTGACCCCTTTTCTGACCCAAGCTGCCAAAGGATTTCTTTTAAAGTGGATTTTTTTTTTTTGACAAGTTTCAATTTCAGAGACTGCTTGGGGTAGGTGGTTCCTTGGGTCTTCTTTACTGCTGTTACTGTCCTCCTGTGGTTCTGTCATCTTCCCTGAGATGAGTTGTGCTGGTGGGATGGGACTGATGAAGGAGGGAGGGGAAAAGATTCTGGGTTCAACAAGCCTGGGAACATACCCAGGCTTTACCTAGCCAAAGAAAGGTGCTGCGGCCTGGTGGGAAGATGGGACAGGAATAGAGGCCTCCAGGGGGCTAGAGAGGGTCAGAAAAAAGCTGCACATATGGAGGATGCAAGCCCATGTTGGCAGCTTTGCCCAACCCAAGGGCACCAATGATCTAAGTAATGAGGGCACTGGTACCCCCAGCTTTTTGTACTGAGGACCCAGACAGGCTGGTGCCTGGATGGGGTGCTGAGTATAATACCTGTTACATGAGGCATTTCTCACTCAGGAGGTGGGGAGAGGAAGGAGATGTGAGGTGGGAGCTCCTGAGCTCAGGCACAGGGATGGGCAACGATGGGAGGTCAGGGAGAGGCTAGATGGAAGAGAATGTAGTAGATTCACAGAGAAGATCCTGGGAGCTCCCACACAGTTTGGGCACTGCCCTCCCTAAGGCCCATACCCATTTGGAATGGATGCATAGAGGGGGCATGAGGCCCTGCAGCTAGCCAGGCTCCAGCCCCAGGGAAACCAGAAATGTAAGTGTCCAACGTCTCATCTCCAAGGTCTGACTTTCTTTTCCCACCTACCTTTAATATTCATCCTCTCGGGAAATCATGGTTTTACATCCAGGCCTCCAGGGCTTGGAGCATGTGTGCAGTGGCACTCAGATGGGGAAACTGAGGCACAAACAGGATTAACTATTATTCTAATTCTATTATTATTCTATTATTCTAATGACACCCAGTAAATTAGCCAGCATGTACTAAGTATTTGCCGTGAGATGGGTATTGTTCAAAGCACTTTATCCATGCTGAGTCCTCCTCAAACAGTCCCCAGGAGGTAAATCCTATTAGCTTTATTTTACAAATGTAACTAAGAGAAGTTGGATAACTTGTCATTAGTCACACAGCTTATAAGCGAGCAGTACAGCCAGGACTCCATGTAGCCAGCTGACTTTAGAGTGTGCACCCAGCCTCCTACCATACTGTCTTCCAAGCTCCAAGGTCAGTGTGAATTTCCACTGTGTGGCCAAAGATGAGTTGGTGCAATGAGAGTATATTCTTTTTTAAAAAATATTTTTAAATAGTTTTTTAGTTGTCAATGGATCTTTATTTATTATTTATGTGTGGTGCTGAGAATCAAACCCAGTGCCTCTCACATGCTGGGCAAGTACTTTACCACTGAGCCACAACCCCAACCCCAATGAGAGTGTATTCTAAGAAATTAAAATGTCATGTGCACACACATACACACACATACACACCTACCCATGTTGTGCAAATGTATAGCCCCATTGAGTGTCATGCCTAAGTGTTGCCACATGCACTCAATTCATTCTTGCTCTATCGCTGTTTCACTCTGCCCAGGCACAAGAGCAAGCGCAGATTATTTGCATGGAGGGGATGCAAACCAGACCTTTCCCCTCTCCTCCTTCTTTGACTTGGATGGTCAGGGCTCTGGCTTCTCTAACCCCTCCTAGTTCTCACTGCCCCCTGCCCTCTAAGACTCCCTGCATCCAGCCCCTTCCCAGGCCTTGGCTGCAGCCTGTAGCAGCAGCTGACTCTACTTACATGCTGGCAGTCCCTGTCCCAGATCAAAGGCAGGGCGGCTAATTGTGCATCTTAACAAGTCCCCCCCTTCTGCTTCGGGCAGCCCAGCTGGCCACGGCCCCACCCCTTTCCCCCTCCAGCTGGCCAGATGGCACAGTGCCTGTGTCTGCCCCAGACAGTCAGGGCCAGGACCGAAACTGGGGCCCTAAACAGGAGCTGGGGGCAGACTCAAGTAGGATGGATTTCTTTGAGGCTTGGATGCCTGCAGCAGAGGGTGGCCATACAGGCCCTGCTTGGTCACTTCTACACGTGGCTGTGACAGCTGTCAGAGGCCATGTGGGGGAAGGCATCTTGAACTGCATGGGACAGGGATGTTCTTTTAGGGCTATGGGTTACAGTTCTCCAGATTCCTATGGGTCTGCTCTTGAATGTGGCAGAGCCTGGGGGATGGTGGTTGACCCTGAACATGACCCCAGATCAGCTTTGTGCTCTTTCCTAGTGCCAAGTGTGCACAGGGTCTTAGGAACTGGAAACTGGGTTACCTGGGTTTCTTTCTAAGCATCAAGACTTCCTTGGAGCTAATGTCCTTCAGCAGAAAGTTGTCACTACTGGGACTGGATCCAGCTTCATAACCCCTGTGTCCTTGGGCTTTTTCATTTTGCATAGTGCATGTGTATTTGGTGGTGGCTGTGGTGTGTGGAGGGTGATTTCTAAGTTGCTCTGGAGGCCTGAATATTGCCATGTGTCCTAGACTGGGCCAATGACTCCTCGTAATAAGAGAAGTGCTCAAAGTTCCAAAGATAAAAGGCAAGGGATAAATGCAGGGTGTGCTTCCCAGGGACTTTGGTCCATCCTCCTTCCTCAGGTCCCTCCAACCCAAAGCAGTTTCTGCTCCCCTGCCAATTCCCAGCATCCCCTTTGAAGTCTCCAACCCAGTCCTCATCCCTTTCTGTCTGATCATAGCTAGGCTCCTTATGAAAAAACATACTGAGATGCCATGAGCTAGAAATAGATTATAGAGAGGGAGCTTCATGAGCTGCTAGTAGCCCAAATGATTTATTTTAGAATGGGTTATGAACTGCTGGGCTCTGTCCTTGAACAGGGGGAAACAGAGAATAGTTACCTGCTGGGTGGGGTGGCACATGCCTAAAATCCCAGTGGCTCAGGAAGCCCAGACAAGAGGATTGCAAGCTTAAGGCAGCCTCAGCAACTTAGTAAGGCTCTGTCTCAAAGCATTACATTTAAAAAAAGAACTGGGGATGTGATTCAGTGGTTAAACACCTCTGGTTTCAATCCCTGGTACCAAAAAAAAAAAAAAAAAAAAAAAAAAGAACTTAAAAATCAGAAGTGAGTGAAGTCAGACTGTAGGAAGACCTTCTCAATAATAGCTAATGTTTATGTAGTACCTAATATGAATAAGGCACTATTTTAAGCCTTTAAATTTAATAACTCACTTAATTCTTGGATGAGGCAACTCTATTTTACAAGTGAGGAAACGGAGGAGGTTAAATCACTTGGTCAAGGTCACATAGCTTGAACCCAGGCAATCTGACTCCAGAAATCAGTTCTTTACTACTAACCATCTTATCTTATCATCATCATCATCATTTGTCTATGCAGGAAGAGGAGGAAAGTGCTCTGTGATACAGGGGTAAGAGTTAGAGGAGGAGTGGTCCATCCTGATTGGTTCTTCAGTGTCTGTGAGGCTACACAGAGAGTAGAAGGACCCAAACAGGGTCTTTGTTTCCTCTGAATCTCTGGCCTCTGCTGAGGTCATCAGCCTCCTGCCAGGTTGTGGGCTTCTTAGGGGATCACAGTAGCACTGGTGGATTTTCCTCCCTAGGTGGGGCTATTCTTGTTCTTGGCTTCTCTCACTCCTAACCTCTCTCTGAAGTCCAGAGGCTGGTCCATCTTCTCCTTTCTCAGATGCAGAATAAGCAAGAAGTAGCCTGCAGATATGAGATCTAGTAGGTCTCCCTCTGCCACAGGCACTCCAAGAGGAAGGCTCAGGCTGGAACACTGAGAGGGAAAGCAGTGCAGACAAGTAAATGGCCTGGATCTGAGCCACTGAGAATACATGGGTCAGGAAGGGCCTTGATGTCTCCTGAGCACCTAGCAGAAGGTGTCTTCCCCTATACCATATGCCAGACCCCAGTTAAGACGCTGGACTTGCCTCTATCATCCCTCAAACATCTTTAATCTAAAGGATTTTGTTTTTTATGTTGGTAGTGGGGACAGAACCCAGGGGCTTCATGTACCCTAGGCAAGTGCTCTACCATAGGCAGAGCAGCTGGGGGGTATCCATTCTTGAGTGATTGTGTGTCCTGTGGACAAGGATGGGGACCATCAAGGAGGGTTCTGGGCTGGGTCTACCATGGGTGCACACTGGCAGGCAATCTGGAGGAGGTCACTTTAGGAGCAGACCATCTTCTCTTACTTATCCTGCCCACTGGCATCCCTGGGAACTGGAATTCCATCACTGGTCATGTATTCTTTAGGTTAAACTTTGCAGGGTAGTTTATGCAGATATCACCATGAAAGGTAATAGATGAAATCCCTGATCTTAAAAAGAATGTGTTTACCAGGTATTTTCTGCCCTACAGGAGAGATTTAAGCACAAGAATTCTGAACTTGCTTGGGTGATGTTAATGAAAAGGGAAAGGCAGTGTAACAAGTGTGTTATCAAGGAGAACTATCTCTTTCACCTTGAATCCTACGTGGAGAAGGCCTGGCTTCTGCTATAATTTCTGCTCGCCCTCCCTCCCTTCCTCTGTGTCTTTATATCAGACCCTCCATACTGGGACTCAGTTTCTCTGTTTGATGCTAAGGTTGGGCAGGCTGGGCAGGGGGATCCGATGTCGAGGCCGCATCAGAATCTGTTTTCTCACAGGTTTCAGAGAGAGCGCTTTTGCCTACGCAATCGCAGCAGCCGGGGTGGTGCACGCGGTATCCAACGCGTGCGCCCTGGGCAAACTGCGGGCATGCGGCTGCGACGCATCCCGGCGCGGAGACGAGGAGGCCTTCCGTCGCAAGCTGCATCGTCTGCAGCTGGACGCGCTGCAGAGGGGTAAGGGGCTGAGCCACGGGGTCCCAGAACACCCCGCCCTGCCCCCTGCCAGCCCTGGCCTGCAGGACTCCTGGGAGTGGGGCGGCTGCAGCCCTGACGTGGGCTTCGGGGAGCGCTTCTCTAAGGACTTTCTGGACTCCCGGGAGCCTCACAGAGACATCCACGCGCGCATGAGGCTCCACAACAACCGAGTTGGGAGGCAGGTGAGAGCCCTGACCCCTAGACCTGCTCCAAATCCCTCTACCTATATCCCACCTCTCCCCCAGGCCAACTTTCTTCCCTGGGACCAGCTCAGCGACCTTTTCTTTGCCCCCTCCTAATTCAGTCAGCAAGCATGACTCGAGGACTTACTTTATGCCAGGCACTGGACTTGGCCTGGGAAATACAGGGATGAAACGACCCTGCCCCCTGCCTGGGATCAGCACACCCCTGCTGAGCAGTCTGTTCCTCCATTTTCTCCAGTATCACCTGACAGGACTGAGCTGGCAGTCAGGACCTCAGGGATCTAGGCCTGGGTTGTCACCTTTCTACTCCCCTGTAGAGTCAGAAGGTTGGACTAGATCATTGTCAGGTCCCCCAGCTCTAATGTGACTCTGACCTCCTCTCCCAGTCCACAATGGGGGATTCCTGGAAAGTGAGGGGGATAAGAGGTTTCTAGGGGCCCCCTTGGACCTGTGTTATGATTGTCTTCATCCCTTCTCCCCTCCAATATTCATTGAAAATAAATTAAAGAAATACATGAAAAAATAAATAGGAGAAGGAAGGAAAAAAAGGAATAGGAGCCTACATTTATTGAGTGCCTACTGTGTGATAGGCCCTATCCTGAGCACCTTATTACGTATTAGCCCATTTAATCTTTACAACCACCTATGATATGAACACTATTATGAACCTCATGTTCAGATATGGGAACTGAGGCACAGGTAGACAAAGAAGCTTTGCTAGAGCTGATGTAACTAGTGAGAAAGTGGCAGAGGCAGGATCCATGCCCAGGCAGTTGAGCTCTGATCCTGTGCTTGCTTGTTCTATGGAGTGGAGTCTTCTCTCTGGACACATGGTACACTCAGTGTGGACTCTATACTCTGTACATGTTGTACACTCAGTGTGAAGTCTACACTCTGATGCCTCCTTGGCCCTCATGGTGGCCCAGCACACTCCTCTCCTGGCCATTCTATCCCCACTCCGTCTCTGGACTCTGCTTAGTTTGCTCCAACCTTGTTCCTGCCCTCTTCTTAACTCTGTTGGGGAGCATTCTCTACTTTACTCCCCTTTCCCTTTAACTTTTAGCCTGCTCCAGTTCATCTTCTTCCTCCACAAAGACTCCCAGCTGATCCAACAGTTCCCATCTTCACTTAGAAGTGGGGTAAACTGAGGCACGCCCACCCTCAGATCCCGTCCAGCTCCCACCCAACCCTGCCCTGTGCATGAGGCTCTTTCCCCAAGCTTCTATACCATCCCAGCCTGTACCAACAGTGCCTCCTCCTCCTCCTCGTCCTCGTTAAACTGTTTAATTAATGGCTGCTGCCTGTGGGAAGCAGATGTTCTGGAGTTGTTGGCCTGGGGAGGGGAGGCATGGGGCTGGTTCTCATGTGGTGCTGACACCACATGCAAGCTGCACAGCCCTATAAGGCCCGAGGGGCAGGGTCCCTCACTTTTGGCCCTCCTGCCCAGCTGTGGGGCCCCAGATCCTTGCTGTCCCTGCCTGAGAATATGTCTTGGGATGAAGTGGGGGCCACCTTCCTGTGGGGACAATGCCAAGAAGTTCTTTGGGAGGGGATCCTAGACTGGTTAAGAGTTAGGCAGGGGGCAGGTATGTCCCTCTAAGTACCTCCCCTGGAGGCCTGGCAACCTCTCTCCACTTTCACAGGACTGAGAGCCTGGCCCTCTCTGGGGTTCCTTCCATATTCAGGTAGAACTTTGGCCCCTGGTGGCACTCAGCACAAGACTGAATGAGTCCCAGTCAGCATAATGAGAGGGGTGGTCTCCCAGGTTCCTGTCCCCTCGATTTGGATCCTCCAAAGACCTGGGGATGGTGGCAGTGGAATGGGGCTTTCTCAAACTCACTGCCAGCCCGGCTCACAGTCTGGAGTGAGGCCAGAGGCTTTGGGGCTGGCATTTAGTGGGACTGGCACCCCCCCTTCTCCTGGCCCCTACCCCAGGAATGGAAGAAGAGGGAATTTCCCTGAAGATCTGGGATCCCCTCCCTCAGGAAGCCAAAGCCTCCTGCCCCAAGGGCTCCCTGCAGCTGCAGGAAAGGCTGGCAGGAGAGGAGGGGAGCAGTGGGGAGCAGGAAGGACAAAATTTCCCCGTGGCCTAGCCTGTTGGAGGTGGATGGGAGCAGAGCAGAGAAGCCGGCAGAGGAATTCTGATTGCTTGACTCGGGAGTTGTGGGGCCCCTACTTTGGGCCTCAGTCTTTGCTTCTGTACAATGGGAGCTGGTTTCAAAAGCCTCTGAGATTTCGAAGGCCAGTCTCAGCAGTGGGAGGAGGGCAGGGGTCTGGCCGCCAGCGTCACTCCTCACCGTGCCTCCTTCCGCAGGCGGTGATGGAGAACATGCGGCGAAAGTGCAAGTGCCACGGCACGTCAGGCAGCTGCCAACTCAAGACCTGCTGGCAGGTGACGCCCGAGTTCCGAGCAGTGGGGGCGCTGCTGCGCAACCGCTTCCACCGCGCCACGCTCATCCGGCCTCACAACCGCAACGGCGGCCAGCTGGAGCCAGGCCCCGCGGGGGCACCCTCGCCCGCCCCGGGCACTCCTGTGCCGCGCCGGCGAGCCAGCCCCGCCGACCTGGTCTACTTCGAGAAATCGCCCGACTTCTGCGAGCGCGAGCCGCGCCTGGACTCGGCAGGCACCGTGGGCCGCCTGTGCAACAAGAGCAGCGCGGGCCCGGATGGCTGCGGCAGCATGTGCTGCGGCCGCGGCCACAACATCCTGCGCCAGACTCGCAGTGAGCGCTGCCACTGCCGGTTCCACTGGTGCTGTTTTGTGGTGTGCGAAGAGTGCCGCATCACCGAGTGGGTTAGCGTTTGCAAGTGAGCGGCACAGGTTTCCCTGGGCCCCGAGAAAGGCTCCCCTCCTGGAGCCTGGCCTCTGCACTTGCGATTTGGCCCAAAGCACCTTGGCTTCCTGGGAGAGACTGGACCACAGGATCTCAGACGGACTCCCAGTTCTGCAATCAAGGGACAGTCCAGGGCTTCCAAATCAACCCCTCTGCTCAATTCTGTGGGCTTTAGGATTGATTGGCCTCCCTCCTTCCTGTCCTAAGCTCACACAGCTCAGTTGGGCTGGAGACTGCCCCATACCTTAGGACACACACGTGTCAGGCAGGCAGCCCAGCCCCTCAGGCCTGTCTGTGTCCATCCTTTCTCCCCTTTCCCTGGAGTGGGAGGGAATGGATGGAAGCTGATGGGCAGGGGGAGGAAGATTAAAAAGAAGAACTGGACATGACTGAGCTGAAGTAATTCTTTAAAGGCCCCAGTCATCCTTACCCACTGGCCTCTGCCCCTTACCATTTCCTTCATCATTCATTTAACAGATATTTATTTTGCACTCTCTTTGTGGCACTCTCTATGGGGAGGGGGTTCCGGGATACAGGTGTGCATAAGAGAGAGACACAGCACCTTCCCTAAAGGAGTTTACATTCTTCTTGAGGGAGATGAGCAATACACCAGGAAACACACAAACAAGGTCATTTCAGACAATGCTATGTGCTGGGTGTACAGTGATATGGAGAGGGGAACCCCTTCTGATAAAACCAGGGGTCAGGGAAGGCCTCAGAAGTCATGGTACTCATGCTGAGATCTGTGAGGTAGAAAAGAGAGCCTCATGGAGGTTGAGGGGAAAGGCTTTCCAGGCAGAGGCCTGGGGAATGAAAAAGTTCCAAGAGGAAAAGACCTCTGCTTGTTGGAGGAACAGCAAAGAGTCCACTGCAACTAGAGTGAAGAAATCAAGGGACTGATGGGCAAGAGAGGCGCTCAGAGGGCGGGCAAAGGTCACATCATGTGTCTTTCTAGGCCTAGTTAAGGAGTTGGAATCTTATTTAAGAGGAATGGGAACCTGCAGAGAGTCTTAAGCAGGGGGGTGTCATGGTCTGGTTCCTACATGGATTGTTCTATGCAGAACTGGGGGACAAGCTGACAGCTGGAAGGCCACTTCCAAACCAGAGATGAGACCTGGACTGGATGGAGGCAGTGGATATGTAGGAAAGGGACTGGATCCAGGCAGGGTCTTTTGTGCCAGAGTTCTAACCGCCCACTTTGTGCCTGAGCCCTCTGCCACAAGCCAGGGCGAGTGGCTGTGCCCAGCAGCAACCGTCGGCAGAGACAGGAGGCACTCTGAGAGGAATAATCCTGGGCAAGACCCAGCTCAACCCAGCCCAGCGCCCGGGGGAGCAGGTGGGGCCAGGAGGTGCGGCTGGGAAGAGGATGGTGGGGGAGGGCTGCAGACTCATTGTCTGGATCTCTGGGCTCTTGAGTGCGCAGGAGGAGAGGCAGGGTATGTCAATAAGGATCTGGGGGACCATCTTTCCTGGGCGTTGGTGCCCTCAGAGCCCCAGCTCAGGGTGCCCCTTAGCAGGCCAATAATCCCTCTTAGTAGGTCATGCCCCCATCAGGACACTGCTGAGCTGGCAGTTTGAGTACAGGGTTGTATTCTCCTTGTTGTAGATCCGATGATTTTCTGGAACAGACCCTCAGGATGTCAGGGAAAGAACAATTTAACTATTTTAGCCAGGCTTCCTTATGCTCACAGTTAAGGACCCTGCTGGCTGCCTGTTTTTCGCAAATGGCATCCCTCTTGATAAAACAGACAAGGGCAAAATCTTGTTCCCCAATTGTTAGCCTGCAAAAATCCCCCACATTTCCCTACCTCTGTTCCATGTCTCCTTACCCATGGGTGGAGTAAAAAAGAAAAGGAGGTTATCAGGGTGATGCCCATTGTGGACCCTCCAACTGGGAGATTTGCCTTCCCTAGCTGGCTGCAGCTCCCTGTGCTTCCTCTGCTGGCACCCCAGCAGCTCCCAGGCATGCCCAAGGCAGGAGACCCATCCAAGGGCTCAATTCCATTGCCTCTGTGGAAAACAGGGTTTCTCTCCCCATCCCCCCAAAGACAGCCCCACAGGCAGGCATGTGAGAGTCCCCAGGGAGGAGGGGTAGGCAGGAGCAGCCAGACACACCTGCCTCATTCCTTTCCTCTTGTTCACTCAGGAGAGGGCTGTGGGGGCTGGGTTCCCTGCCCCCTTCCTCCCTCCCATCCCAGGAAGGAGAAGAAGCAGGCTGGGGGAATTGGAGTCCCTAGGGCCCGGCGGCGGGGGGGGGGGGGGGGGTACCCCCACCCCTAGTAGTGTCCAGTAGGGCATTGGCCTTGACCTCACCCTCTGCTGCCTCCCAGCCTTATGCAGGACAGACCTGGGTGTGGGGCATGAGGCGTGGGGGGGGGACGGACTGGAAGTGGGAACTCTAGGATCAAGTTGGGGGAATAAGGTAGGAGCCCCAATACTGCGGAACATGCTGCCTTGGAGGCAAGGGTGGGTGGCAAGGTGGGACAGGGGGCTGGATACTGAGCTGTAGGAGAGGGGACCTGTTCTAGGGGGTGAGGTCATGGTGATCTATGTCAGCCTGAGCCATAAAGAAGGGGAGGAAAAGTTGGGAAAGGGACAGTATAGGGTGTTGGTCATCCTCCCATCCTCTCCCTGGGCCAGAAGCTGAGTCCTGGGACCAAGGCTAGAGTCACAATGAAAAGGGGTGTGTGGGACTTTGCAAGGGTCCTAAAGGGAGACATGAAAGTGATGGGGGATGGGGAAATGATGAGAGGCACTGGGCTTATGCATACTGGCTGAAGGGTATTGATGTACATATTGGAAATAGGGGAAATAGGCTGAAATTAAGTGGGAAGGTAGAGTTGAGATGAGGAGAACTTACCAACAGCTTGGGAAGCATCAGGGTGAGCCTTAGAAATAGGAACAGTATGTGGCCAGAGATCATTCAGAGGAGAAAAGAACCTCTTTTACCCCCAATACATTTCACGTGGTGGACACTAGGTCACACCCTTGTGAGCAGAAGTAGAGCCTACTGGATCTAGATTGTTCCCAAAGGAGTGAGGGAGCAAACAGGGAATGAGTATGCTGGACAGATCAGCAGGCAGTGTTGGGGTTAAGGGTCAGGTGGAGATAGCTAGGCTGAGTAGGATCAGAACCTAGGCTTCTTGCTTTTCAGGCACCCAAGGAACCTGGGGGAGGAGAGGAGAGGCATTCAAAGGTAGACCTGGGGCCATGGGAATGCCCCATGAGAAGCAAGGTCAGGGTCATCCAGGCTTCCCTCCTTCCCCCAATTAATGCACACCCAACTAGCCCCCTGGCAGGGGGCCTTCCACGTTGGAGAGTGCCCAGGCCCTAGTCTCGTGGCCCAAGTCCTCCCCTCTCACCCCCCCTTCTCATGTGGTTGCCGGCAGCTGCCTGCGGTCGCCCCAGCTCCTGCACGGGGACTTTCCAACAGGGGAAAAAATGACTTAATGAGAGTGGGAGCCGGGGGCGGGAGGGACAGGTCCCTGTAATCACCGCTCTGCTGTGGGGCCAGCGCGCCTCCGGGCTCTTCCCTGGCTTCCTGCTGCCAGAGCCCCCCTTGGGTTCTGCTGCGGGAGGGGGACAGAGCTGGCGACAGGGGCTCTCTTTCCAGGTTTCAGGTTCTCTGGGACCCTCAGGCTGCCTGTTTCTCCTGGACTCGCCTCTGGAGTCCTAGAGGCCTGGACACTCCACTATCCCTCTCTGGACCTTTTCCTTGAAATTGGGGAGGGGGTGTCTTTCTCTGGAGCTGGGGTTCCCTGCTGGTGTGGTAGAAGGGTAAGGGGTAATGAAGAGAGCCCCTGTCCATTTTGCGGCTGCGTACTTCCAAACGCCACTGGTTGCTGTGGCAACGAGGGCAGCCGAGGTGTGTCCACGGCTCTGGGAGGCGGCCCCCCCCCCCCCCAACACACGTACACTTCGCAGCCCGCTGGGCCAGGCCCCGCCGCTGTGGTACGCGGGGGTGGGGGTGTGCCGTTACCATGGCAAGGGTGCGCTAGAAGGGCACATTCTTCCCTAGGGTGGGAGCGCCCTGGGGATATGAGAAGGGGGGTGACGGGGGCGGCAGAAAGGGGAGCAGCGGTGGTCAGAACAAGGGAGGAGTCTCGGACAAGACGAATGGGGCTTCTGAGGTTGGGGTGGGAAGTCTGCAATCGGTCCCCGTCCTGCAGCTCTTGCCAGGCATTCTCCCTCCCTCATCGCCCCTCACCCTACACCCTTGCTGGGGTTCAACGCCCCAATTCACCGTTTGCAGAGAAGGGATCCCCAACTACCAACCCAAAAGGTTTCTTCCAAGGCCGGGCCTGCGGAGCTTCTGGGCCTGTCTGTCCCCTCCCCCCAGGTGGGGCTGCGGCCCAGACTGCTTGCAGAAGCCCTGCAATTAAGCCCCTCGCCCGCCCCTGCACCGCCCGCCTGTCCTCCGCCAGGCCGGGTCTGCACCACCAATTACTGCAGAGCGCAGCAGCTGATTACCCTGGAGCCTGAGGAGTGGCTGGGGGTGGGGACAACAGGCAAGTTAAGGGGTGGGGACCCTGGGGTTGTCACTGATCCTAGGGTCGTTAGCTGTGGCCCTCTAGCCTCACTTCTCAACTCCAGAGGATAGGGAGGAAGGGTCTCTCAGTGCTCGGTCCTGCAGAGCCTCAATTTTTCACTCCGTGAATGCACACCGAGAGCAGACAGAGCTCTGGGAAGATCTGGTGCGCGCGCTCACGCCTGCGTGCATGTATGTTGCAGCGTCTGGAGTCTGAGGTTGCGTACTCAAAAAGTTCAAGGTCCTCAAGACCAGCTTTCTTTCCCGCCGCCGACTGCCGCGTGGGTCTCTCCTGGTCCCGCGCCCCGCCCATTGGACCCAATTAGGTCTTGCTGAGCCAGCCCCAGGGCTGCTGCCAGCGCCTTTTGTGGGAATCAGAAAACGGCGCCCTCTTTGGGCAAGAAGCTCCCCATTTCTACAGAAGACAGTCCGGGAGTCTACAGAGCAGCGACAGTGGAATTTTCTACCACCATCCTTGCCCACTGCTGTCCCTTCTTCGTTCTGCCCCCGCCCCGCCGGCCAGTCTGCAGGGACTCGAGTAGAGCTTCGCGCCTACCGCAGTCCAGCTGTCCACATCTGGCCGACAGCTGGGAGCCTCCCACCACAAATTGATGAGGATACGGCGCCCTCTGTTGGTGCAGAGCTGCAGCGCACCAACTTCCGGGCCTGGACCTCCCTCCAGCTGCGGCTGGTGCTGGAGGTCTAGCTCCAGTCAGGTGGGTCTCGGATTCCACCATTCAGTGCCTTTGCTCTTGGGAACCACCTGCTCTCTGCCTCTCTCCCAAGTCACAGGCCCTGTGCTCTCCGCCCGTCACAGCTTTGTTGACCCTCTTTCCTTTGTCCCTGCATACTTAAAACCCTCTTCAGCGACCTAATAGTTCCCAGACCTCCCAGCTTCTTTCTCTA